GCTTGCATAAGCCATAGCCTGGGCTACACCACTGAGGAAAGTGACACCCCTTCCCCCAACCACCATTAACTTAATAGTCTCTCAGTGATGGGTGGTGCCTAATGAGCCCTTCCCCCCCCATGATGAAATGTTGTTGAGACCACTCTCTGCAGGTTTTGTGCAGGTGACCACAGTTATGCTGAGTTCATGGGTGCAAAGGTCACAGACGATGCCAGTTGGAATAGACTTTGCCCTGGTATTCACATCACACCAAAAAGATCCTCACGGCCTGATTCCAAGGCTCACCTGTGAATGGAGCCTCTGGAACACATGATACCAAAGTCTATCAGACCTCTATTCCAACTGGCATCACCTGTGGCTTGGTGCAGTGGTCTTAGGCATGAGCTTACCCTAGCAATAGAGAGCCACCTTAGTGTGGGTCTTGGTCCTAGCTTTGTGCTATGCTGGTCTTAGCAGGATGTGAGCTCAGGATATGAAACAATTTGGTGGTTTTGGTGATAACAATTATGACATAAGAACCTGGAGATGGTTCATCCATGATGAGTATAGCCGAGTCCCACAAGCCGGTAACCACTGATAAGGTATATAGGCTTAATATAACACTAAAGAACAGCCTTGAGACAGCCTACTGCTACAGATGTTTTCTTGATTCTTTCTAACAGTGAAATTGGGACAGACTTGGGCTTGGTTTTCCTCTAGCACTAGAATACTGACAACATACTAACAGTAGACTCTTAGCGAATCAGGATGTGGACACGACCCAGTGTTGAAATAGCATGACTACAGGCTTGGAGAAGAGCAGCATCTGGCTTAGCGTTTGGGGAAAGGACAGAGCAAATAAAGTCAGATTAAGCAATCTGGACCAGATGATGTTGCCCAGCAACAAGCATGAAGAAGTTTCAGGAAACCATGACCTCACCTCAGAAAATGCCAGAAATTGACTAGAGGGTGATCAGTATGTGAAAGCTCTCAGGGACTTTAAAACAGCAATTTTAAGGGAACTCATTAAGCTTAAAACACAGAGAAGCATTTCAATAGATGGGAGCGATTTTTAAAAATTCAAATTCCTCAATAGAATACTACACAGTAAAAAATGTAATAAAATGCAGCTATGGTGGGACAGGGCAAATAGAAGAAGAAAACAATCAATAACCTGGCAGGTAGGCTCTTTAAAAATTATTTATTTTATGCGCATTGGTATTTTGCCATGGGTGTTGAGTCCCCTGGAATTGGAGTTACAGACAGCGATGGGAATTGAACCCATGTTCTCTGCAAGAGCAGTTACTGTTCTTAGCCACTGAGCCATTTCTCCAGCATCTGATGATGGACTTTAAAAAATATACAGTTGAAAGAGAAAGAAGAAAGTTGAGAGAGTATTAAATGAACAAATATTTAGATGAATAGGCCTCAAGAAAAACTGAAGAATGAAGATGTACAGGGTTTATTCAAATAAATGACAGTGTTTGGAGGTGTAATTCAGTGGTAGGATGCTTGTCTAGCAAGAAGGAGACCCTGGGCTCAATCTCCAGGACATTCCAACAAAACAATGGTTGTCATTGTGATCATTTCTTCACAGACTGTTTTTCACATGTCAAACTCCCCAAGGAAACACAGGAGAGATGGATTGACTGTTGTGCACTGTCCGTAAAGCACACCCAGAGCCGTAAAGCACAGCCCCGCCAGCTAACTTCTGATTGGTTCCTTGCCACGAGGAGGGCATCTGACCTTAGTGACCAGGACAGGAACGGCAAGGTCATCCACTAAGTATCTTTTTAAAAGGCTGGTCAGCCGTTTATGAGGCCCTGCAATATTGTCCTATCCTGACATGACTTTCCTTTTACTTCAATTCTGCAGGCTAGCATTATGGAGTACAGTCTTCGCGGCTTTGGGTCCTAGAATATCTCATTCCATTCCTTCCAAGCCTATAGAAGTTTCCTTGACCACGTGCTGTTGTCAAGCTTATCCGGATATATGTGGGGGCTGTGACATGAACGACAAAGGAGAGATGGCAGGGATAGCTGTGGTATTTATCTCTGAAATGGCAACGAAGTGCTTTCCCAAGTATGGGACTATGATCAAGCCTGGACAAATGCATCTTGCGGCTCCTTTTGGCAGTGTATGTCATGTGATAGATAGGTAGCACTTGCCTGAAAATGAGGAGAAAGAGGGAGGTGTGTGGAACAGAGCAAAACTCTCCCTAGCTGTGTGTGCCCTAACATGGAGGACACTTGGAGCCCCTCCCTCAACTGTGGTTGGGGCAGCAGCTCAGAGTCCCTGTGTTCCCTTCTTGCCCTGTGGGCTGTAAGCCCCTCAGCACAGTACAATGGGGGAGTAGTGATAGGAGCTGTGTGACTGCTTGCCTTCAGTCCTGACACTGAAATGAGTCTAAGTGTGGCTGACCATGCCTCTGGTCTCTGAGGTCAAGTCCCTCCAGCTCCTACGTTTCATTCTTCTCCATATAGAAACACAAATCTCCTACAGTGCAAGGTATTCAGGTTTAGATTATCATCATTCTGCTGGACCGAGATGAGTTTGAAAGGGAGCTATCAATCCATGCCAATTCCATGGAATCTCAGAGATGGAGATATGCAGGGGTTTGTGAAACCCAGAGAAATCCCAATGTAGTATCTCATTTCTTAAGATGGGCCCTGGCTTTAATCATACTGGGGCATTTTACTGGGAGATGATATGAAAGCCTTCCCCAAAGGGAGACTATTGCACAGATTTCAAGTTACTTTTTAAAGTGAGCCACAAGTGTGCGGAGATTTTATTTCTCTTTTTATATTGTTTTCTTGGGTCTCTGAATCTTGGAAGGCTCTGAAGCCTTATTTCCAGTGTTCTCTCACAGTCTCTCCTTTCAAAAGGTATACAGTTGTCACTTTGGTTATTGCTGAAGGAGAACAGGGCATCTGTATTCCGTCTTCTTAAATCTAACCAAGATGCTATTTAGAGTAGAAAATCCTGTGCTCATAGTTTCCACAAAGTAGTTCACAAACACCAGTTTCCATGCTAACTTCTTGCACCATTGATTCAATACCATATTAATAAATCTAACGATACCAGAGTTTTTGCAAGGCACATAGTTTAGAGTCAGAAGTTAGTCTATTGATATACAAAAATACTAAAACTGAATTATGAGATTACCTTATAAACTTAAAAATCGAGAGAAAGAGCAAGTGTAATGCTTGTGTATAGATGCACATGTGTGTATATGTATGCCTTTTGTGTGGGGTATATACATGTGTACACGTGTATGTGTATGTTGTGTGTGCATGCCTGTGGCAACCAGAGGACAACCATGGATCCTTGGATGCTATCCCTTGGATACTGTCCACCTTGGGATTTTAGTTTGGTGGGGTTTTGTTGAAGGTGGTCATTTTTGTTTGTTTGTTTGTTTGTTTTTGAGACAGGGTTTTTCTGTGTAACAGCTCTGACTGTCCTGCAACTTACTATGAAGACCAGGCTGGCCTCGAACTCACAGAGACCCATCTGCCTCTGCCTCCCAAGTTCTGAGATTAAAGGCGTGTGCTAGCACAGTTGGCATTGTACACCTTGTTTTGAAGACAATGTCTCTCACTGGCGTGGAGCTTGCTCGGTAAGGTAGCTGGCAGCAAGCCCCAGGGATCTGCCCATCTCCTCCTCCGCACTGGGATTACAAGGGCATACCATCTGCCTGGGCATCAAACTTGGTCCTTATGGTTCTCTCAAGTCCTGCCGCATCTTTTCTTGAGCTAGAACCCAACCATTCATTTCTCCTACGTGAACATCAGCTGGAACCAATGAGTTAGTCCAATAGCTTCTACCCAGCCCTAGTACTGTATTAGCTTCCCATTGTTGTGAACTTAGTCACACCAAGCAGCACACAGCCATCTTATAGCTCAGTAGGTGAGAGGGTCACACGGGATCGCTGGATGAAACCAACGTGTCAGGTATACACAGCGCTGTCTTCATTTCTAGATTGTCAAAGAAGAGCCCCCCCCCCCCGTCCTTCCCTGCTCCTGCTGGCTGTCTATGCCTTTGGTTCACGGATCCCCTCATGGTGAGCGGTGGATCAAGGCGCTCTCTCTCCTGTTGTACCTGATCTTCCTTGTCACACCTCCGTGACTCCTTTTGTTCTGGCTTTCCACCTTTAGGGTTCCAAGGATTCCCCTGGTGATTACACGAGGCCCACCCGGATAACCCAAACTCATCTCCTTCTTTGGGGTCAGGAGACTGGCACTCTGACACGGTACTTTTTTTGATTGTGACAAATCCTGAAGGATCTGAGGTGCTATCACAATGCCTACTGCAGATACTGGAAGGCAGGGGCCTCTCAGGAAAGTGTTCACTGGGGGAATTTTCCATGGGGTCTGCTGAGACATAGTTTGCTTTTAAAATAGGTAAAAAATAGAGACTGTGAAGCAGCTAGAGTTGCTAGGTGTGGTTCATTCATTATTCCTGTCACTCAAACCTCTACTGGCTTTCTAGAGCAGCCGCAAGAAAGTTCCACAGCTGGTGGTTCCGACAGAAAGTTGATTTTCTCAGAATTCTGGAGCTAGAGTTCAAGATCTGTGGCAGGGCTGGTTTCTTCTCCTCTCAGTCTCACTCTTTTGTGGATGGTCACCTTCTTGTCTTCAGGTGGTCCTGCCTTTGTTTGTGTCCTTCCTTCCTGGTGCCTAAGCTCCTGCTGGCTGTCCATGCCTTTGGTTCACGGGTCCCCTCATGGTGAGCAGTGGATCAAGGCTCTCTCCTGTTGTACCTTGGACTGCGGTTTATTCCACTGGTCTCATTTAACTTTCACCTCCTCCTTAGAGATCCTGCCTCCAAACAGTTGCATCATAAAGCACTGGGACTCAACCCTTCAACAAGAGCACTTAGGAGGGCAGTCGTCAGCCTGTAACAGTAGCTAACTAGTCCTTACTTACAAAGTGTCAGAGGACTATTAGTTAAGAAACAGAGGCTGGGGAGTTGGGGGTCAGAGGTGGGTGAACAGCTTGTTCTGTCACACAGGCTTTTTTTTCTACAAAAATGGTGATTTTATTTTCTTATACAATGGTAAATATTTGGGGGGATGTTCAGGTTTTAAAATTTCTCTGGGTTGACTTTACACATTACAATACCAATATAGGTTAACAAGTTCTTCCATTTCAGTCGAACAAAGGGATCCAATTGATAGGAGATATGGCAATATATGAAAATAAACGTTCCCCCCCACCTCCAAATGTCTACAAAAGCTTAACAATCACTGCCTACTCCACAGGACAGACAATTTGTTTTTAAAAGGCTCCAGACCGAAGAACAGCACAACCCTGTGTCCTAACACTTATAATACACTTAACAATACTTTATCAAAGATGTTTGAGCTTGAGATTAACACTGAAGGAAGAAAAACGGTAGTTGAGGAACTGCTCAACAAAAAGGAAGTCATATAAAACATCACCACCACTATTTAAAAGCCAAATTTAGGCAATAGTAAAAAAGAAAAAAATCAAAACAAGATAATAATACAACCTCTGTTTAAAATAACAGCCCCGTCCTGCCTCTTTTCCACTGAATTTTACATATGAACAGACTATATATACTGGATCTTTGGAGAAATGTCCATTTGGTCTGTCACACCCATCTGGTCACTGTCTTTGGGGTTCATTCAACTCCACATTGTTTCTGTCTTCGCCATTCTGGGTTAGGTGCGGTGTGTTAGGTATGCATTTCTCCCTCTTCCTTTACACAGTGCAGAGTATATGGGCACAGGTCACGTAGCTTCCCCTTTACTCCAAGTCACCATCTTTGTCTAAATTCAAAGCGGTGCTCGGCGGCGTGCAGTAGTTGGGCTTGTCCGACGGCGCGTAGCCCGGCAGGCACACACACTTGTAGGAGCCTTCGGTGTTGATGCACTTGGCATTCTTGCAGAGAGACATCCGATTATTCAGCTCATTGCATTCATTTACATCTGCAATAAAGCACACCGCGGGTCAACAGTCTCTAACGTTACTCCAGCCAGAGACATGCCGGTACCCTCTGCACCTGGGTGCTGCCCACAGTTCTCTGATGCACAAACCAGACAGCTTCCTCTCTTTAACTCTCAAAATCAGCTTCCTCCCTTTAACTCTCTCAATGTGCAAGATAAAAAAAGACGACCACAGAGAGTCTGAATTGCCCTGTTGTTCAAAATATAATGTCAACATTTTGTCAGTTTGACATTTTATATAGAGAAGCTACAGTGTGACTGGTGATTTTAATGTTTTTATCCAAACTAACAGCTAGGGAAGCCATCTATTTTCTAGATGCTGTCACTCTTTTATAGTTGCATCACATACTCAGAGAAACTATTACTTGCTGAACCATCAAAATTCAAATTTAAAAGTCAAAATTATTACTTGGGCCATTCTGGCCTTTCCTCTATATTTAGTATTATTGGGGGGGTGGGGCTGGAGGCTGGAAGCATAGTTTCATGGTACAGCTCTTGTCTAGCATGCACAAGGCCCTGGGGCTCAGTTTCTGGCTCTGAGGAAAATAAAACAATAAGGATTTTATTTTTGGTTTTTATGAGACAGGGTTTCTCTGTATTGTTTTGGAGGCTATCGGTCCAGCCGGGCCTCGAACTCACAGAGATCCGCCTGCCTCTACCTCCTGAGTGCTGGGATTAAAGGTGTGTGCCACCCCTGCCCGGCAACAATAAGGATTTTTAAGTGAGGCAATAACTCTGAGCTTCAGTTGTGATAAAAAAACAAGCAAGTAAACAAAAATAGGCTGAATGCACACCTTTAGTCCCAGCACTCAGGAGGCAGAGGCAGGCAGATCTCTGAGTTCAAGGCCAGCGTGGTCTACAGAATGAGTTCCAATACACCCAAAGATACAGAGAAATCCTGTCAACACCCCCCCCAACCAGAATACACGATTGACTGTCTTTAACTATTTTTGTGTAGTCCTGTAACATCAAGCATAATTATACTTAATACAGATTTCAACTTCCCATGCTGCAACCCCCACCCATCTTGCTGAAACATACTCAGCTGACCAGATCTGGCCACAGGGGATCCCAGGGGAAGCCTTTCATCAGACACTCTTGTTCTTACCAACACAAGTCATCTTGGCCATATCCAGGTGGTACCCATCAAAGCAATCACAGGTATAACCTTCCTGGACCCTCACACAGCGGCCATTTTCACAGCCATTGAGGATGCCACATTCTTCTGCCTGCAATTCCTCAAAGCTATTTAAAAAACCTGCAGAGGGAGAGGCAGGGTCCAGGTTAGAAGTGTTCACCCTCACTCCCTAAAGAAAATCATATTGTTAAGTGTAGGGTGAAATTTGGTGTTCCGCCATTAGCCATGTGACTTATTAGAGGTGCATACAGATGAGGTAATAAAAGGGCGGTTTACCACACCGCTAACCACACTAACTTTAGGTATGACTAAAGACGTATACGGACGTAGGTGGTGAACTACGTCACTAGCCAGGCCCACTTTCAGGCATGGCTAGGGGCGTGTACGGAGGAAGGAATAAAAGACTGAGCAGCAGAAGTCTCGTTCTTTTCGGCTTCCAGTTCGGCAGCGGAAAAATACTCGGCTCATCTGGGTTACTTGTTTGTCTCTTGTGAGTAATTTCTACAATAAATACTTACTTATACTTTCAGTAAGTGTGCCGTTTATCGTTGCAGCATCAACTAAGGATACAGTTTATTTTGTATATTTGTTTTAGATACCTTAACATTAGCACGCACACACACACACACACACACACACACACACACACACACACACGCACACACACACACACACACACACACACACACACACACGAGCTCTATTTGCATGTATGCCTATATGCCAGAAGAGGGCATCAGATCCCACTAGAGATGGTTGTGAGCCATCATGTGGCTGCTGAGACTTGAACTCAGGACCTCTGGAAGAGCAGTTAGTCTCTTAACAACTGAGCCATCTGTCCAGCACTAAGGCTAGCTTTAGAATTTCAAGTATATCTACACCCTGTGTTGAGCATAAAGCAATTCAAACTTTTGCATGGACCAGCCCACTTTGAATTTGAATGCTTTCTACTAAAATCACATAATGTGGAAAACAAGGATGAGTTTGAGTTTTAAGAAAACAAACATGGGTTTGAGCTGTTTTTTCCAATTGGGAAATGTGGGGATTTTTAAACTTTTTGTCATGAATTTTCAATAGGGCAGACGTCAGGAAGACTTCAGGGGTGGGATTGGTGGAATTCCCAAGCAGTGTTCGGCAGGCATTTTCTAAGAAGGCTCCCAAGTTTGAGGGCGTGCAATGGGAGCTGCAGAAACATAGAAGAGCCAGGCTGGCTGTGCCCAGTGGGGTCTGTTTACTCTGGCTTTGCACTGAGTCCTCTGCAAGGGCCCACAGGATAGAGGCATAGAAGCGATTAAAACATCTCGATAAATGGAAAAGCACACTGTACGTGTGTTTAGGATACAAAAAGGCTTTGATAAAGGACAAAACAAAGAAACTCTTGTTTGGCTCCTTTTACAGTTTAGACACTAGCTCTGAAGCTACTCAAGGCCCCTGGAGTTTTAACAACATAAATATGTGACCATCCATGAAAGAGTTGGGCTGTGCTCCTGGAGAAGGAAGCTGTAACTGTAAATACACAATTAAGTACACTGTCACAGGTCACCTTCTCAACACACAGCGGTTTAAAAAAAAATTACAGCCAGACGTTTTGGCATGACGGGTTCTCTGAGGTAATTCTCCAATGGAACTGCAGGGGGCAGCAAAATATTGTTGCTATGCCGGCCCAGAAGGTCTTAATTTACATAGGAGCCCACTAAAAAAGACTGTAAAAAAAATAACTCTGAGAAGGTGGGGTAGGGAGAGGGGAGGGGGAGGAAAAGAGAGAGGGGAAAGTGGGATTGTAATAAAAAAAAAACCCTCCAAAAAACTTAATGCATCCATGAAGGTCCCTGGCCAAAATTTAAAGAGGAAAATAATCAGGCCATGAAGAAACAGCAGACATATAAAGCTGATTTGAGACATACAGACTTAGAAAATGAGATCTTGGTTGAAATCTTCAAAATCTAGTATATCATAGCAAAATCACTTTGCTGTCACAACTAGTAAGAATATGTTTCATTACAGGGATTAAAATGTGTCATTAACAAGTGGGACTCAAGACCTCCAAAACACACCTTCAGGTTTCTAAACCAGGTGGGCAGACTCTGATCCAAAATGAACACAACTACATCCAGTAGCCATGGTAACTCTCTGTGGCCATGTACATGGCGCTATGGCAGAGCCGAGTGGCTACAACAGAGACCATGTGGCCTTCGAGGTCTAAAACATTGCCATAGCTAGCCTCCCAGAGAGTGGATAATGCACTGATCAATGAGTCTTGGAAATATTGCAAGGCAATGCAGACCACAAAACAGGAAGGTGATGAGAAGCCTCGCTTTGCTCGTCTTCCATTATTGGCTACTCAGTGTGATCCTTTCTCCAGCAGGGCCAGGAGCCCTTGCCCGCTACCAGTCAGAGAGCAGGCCAGGCTGTTTAAAGGCCACTGTGGAATCAAAACCCACACGACAACTCCTTATGTGTGTTGGCGCTGAAGAGAAGGTCAGGATAGTTCAGCAGGTAAAGTCTTAGGAGGCAGAGGTGACACACACAAGTGGGTGGGTTTTGGGGTCGCTTACGGACTCTACCTGCTATTTCCGGATTTGTGGGTTTTCTTTGGAGCCTGCTCTCTCTCCCCCGTTCTCTTTAAGGAGGAGGGTTACTCATTTGTAGCCCTCACTGTGCCGTGTGCACAAGTACATAGTCTTGGGATTGTGGGTGTATTCAGGATCATGTCTTGTTAGTAATAAACAAGGCTACTAAGCATAAGAGTTAGGAATAGGACAGTAGTTATCCTTGGTAAGACTTGGGAAAGGCCGGTAGGAACCTTCTAGAACATACTGTTCTTGACCTTGGAGAGGGGCCATACAGGTATGTGATAATCAGCCTCACTGAATGGCAGAAACATGGCATTCTGAATTCTGCGGCATGATCAGAACACAACACCCTCTGAAAGAGTCAAGGGTGTGTCATCTCAGAATTGCCCCAACTGGCTGATACCGATTCTCTCAAGCAGAAGTCACTGAGGAACTGTTTACTCCTGAACATTCTACCCGGTTTGCCTTTTCCTATTCCTACCACACTGTAATGATTCTTCAGCTGGGAATAGCCTTGGTCAGGGACACTGGTAGCTGGGGTGAGTGAACACATTCTTGGAAGTAACCCTTACCCTCCACTAACTTATAGGTGCCCCCATCCCCATAAGTCTCTCAGGGGGACCAACAGAGCTCACCATCCTATAGTAATACAAGATGTCCTTGTGTTGTCAACCATTCACACGTTCACTCTTCACTGTCTAAAAGCCTCCGAGCAGTATACTCTGGCCATTTCTTTAAACTTTACTCTTGTATCGTGAAATGTAATTAAACTTCATGCCTTCCCATCAGCCCTTGTATTACTGGGACTTTTAGATCCAACCAAAGAACAGAGGGAGGAAGAGTGTCTGCCCTCCTGAACCATAGGGAGGAAGGAAAAGGCTTTCGACTTTGTGGAAATAGCCTCAAATGCAGCTACTAAGTTCTAAGTGCTACTCCCAACTGGTGGCTTCTGGAAACAGGTGATACCCACCCACCCTCCCCAAGAAAAGACTAAATCGTATGCTGCAACTCTGAAGCGTCTCTCAAGTCCTAACTCCAAAGTCCATGGTCCACAGGGACCCAGCATGTGAGGGTGCGGTATAGCTGCTGGAGTGAGACGCATCCCTTAAGATGAGAAGTCCTTGAATTCGCATTTCTCTGTTATGATGCAGTTCAGCATCCACTCATCCACCAGCCACCATCTTTCATTCTGAATTGCTGTGCCTCCAAACCTCACTCTTTCTATTGAAAGCACAGATGTCTCTCCTATAGAAACGTAGTTTGTGTGTGGTTTCCTCACACAGGACCCTCTGTCCGTAGGCTGTGGGGCATTTCCTTTCTAGAGGGGACATTATTTTCATTCCTGCCTCCTTCCCTGAAATCTCTGCTCACAAATCCAGAAAAGGCTGGCACACATCACTTCTTACTTAATAAATCCCCTCACAAGTGGATTCTAAAAATCCATTTCTGACCAAGAAGGTATTTTTTTCTGGACCACCCACTCTAAAATACTTGTAAAGATCAACTTGGTGTGGTGAACATTTGTCATTTCCTTGCAGAGAACTGGAACTATATGAAAAGAAATGATTGAGCTGTAGCAATTATAACAATAAGATCATTTTCATTACTTTAAAGAAAATAAACATAATACCTCTCCCCATGCAATGCTCATGGGGAATCTGGTGATTCCTAGCCAAAGCATCAGGCTTTGTAACTCAAGGGGATTATAAAACCAGCCTGCTGGGTCCCGCCCCAATATTCTGATGGGTAGGTTTAGACCAAGACCCACAGATCTGCATTCAAAACAATTTCCCAGAGATCATATTTTGAAAACACTGAGTAATCATGATCCACAGCTTAACTCAACATGACTGAATGACTGTGCTTACGGTCTTGAATGAAGTAAGGGTTTGTCTCTGGGCCATACTGCTCACTGAAGTCCACCAACGCATCTCGTCCATATGGCCGCCGTCGCCCTGTCACGGGGATGTTGCACAGCTGGGCATAGTCATCTGAGAGGGAAAGGACACTGTTGAGTTACATCAGACACACACGCCACACCTCAGAGCAGTGAGCCTGCCATCACACACACCATTCAGAAGCATCTAGAATGTGCCTGAGTATTCCTCTGTGGAAGCTGGGCACACGCACACACTGAATATTAGGATAAAGATGGCTCTCAAACAATGACCCAAAAGAGCTGATGATTTGTATAACCCATCCTAGAAAACCCACATGGACAGAGACAGACAGACAGACAGAGAGAGAGGGGGCCATCTTAGAATGCATCAGACCTCCTGGAAGAGAAGTTTTATCAAATCTTATTATGAATTATTATAAAAATATAAGAAACAAAGTAGTCCACAGAGTAAGTGAAAGGCACATGTCCATAAGAAACAGGAAAAGCACATGATACAGAGACGACTTGAACTGATCGGTTGCTCCTCTGTCAGACACGGTGTAATTCCAGGCCCTGTGAACGTGATTACAGCATGCTGGCCATCACGGCAACGGTGAGCGTAGCAAAAGGAACAATGATCGCACACTGATTGCACACTGCTTCCTCTGTCGTGTGTTGCTGTAAGACTTTAATTAACACCCATTTCACCCGAGCATTTGTGCTCTGAGAGATTTTGTTGCCATCTGAATTTTACTGATGTAGACAGGAAGGCACAGAGAGGTTATGTCTCAGCTGGTGCCTGGCTGGCACGGACCTGAAGTCAGTAACCAGGCTACAGAGCTTTCTTCAAGCTCGGTTTCCGGCATCTCTTCTGGAACACTGGGCCTTATTCACCCTTGGCCTCCAGCTGCCACTTCCTATAGCCACATCCCCATTCCAAACTGGACCAGGCCAGAATAGCTGGATTCCTAACCTGCACTCCCCAGCCAAGCCATGGAATGTTGGTTCTCCACCCGCAGGGGGCTCCTGAGATTTAAATGCATGCCATGATGTCAGGTCTTTCCTACACTTAATAGCGGTTGTTTGGAAAGTCCAGAGAGAAATGTTTCATGTGCTGAATGTATGAATTACAGAGAATGCATTTTCCAAATATGACAACTAGCAGTTGGTGAAAACTTTCCTAGAGGTCAACCTCTCCGCCAGGGTGATTAGAGGCAGCCAGGTACTAGGCTCCAGGACTGGGTTGACAGAAATCTCACCACATTCACCCAAGCCAACACTTACCCGAAGGCTTCCAGTTTGTTTCCTCCTATACACAATTAAAGAAAAACAGAGTCTGGCAAGATGGCTCAGCTATTAAAGGCACTTGCCGCCAAACCTGAGGACCTAAGTTAAATTCTGGGACCCACATGGAGGAAGAGGAGAACAGACTCCTGCGAGTTGTCCTCTGATCTCCGTGAAAGTGCACGGTAGTTCATATACACTCATTCTTCCCGTCTCTCTAAATAAATAACTAAGGAAATAGGTGGTGGACTGGAAAGGCTTGCTTCCATCCCTGCATGGAGGGCGAAGAGTCAAGACTCACACATTCTGCGACTAGCACCAGGGAACAGTAAAGGCTCAGAAACCACTGCGCCATGGGAGAGGGTAGGAGACCCCTGCCTCAACCCCTTGCCTCACACACAAATATTCTAGAAACATCCAGACCCCAGATGTTCCCAACCCTTTGCGTGAAGCCATGTTGTGAGATTAAAAGTTCATTTCTTTAAGGAAATAACAGAGCCTGGAACAAGACTCTACTCAAACAACAATAACAATAAAACAAACAAACAAAAAATCCCCAGCTTCAATCAGAGCTCAAACCGTTGTCAGCTCTACTTAATGTTTGAAAAAGCACCAGGGGCTTTCCCTTTGAGAGCAGAATTGCTCAAATGTTTACAGGTTTTAAGAGCTGAGGTCATCTCCCCTGGTTTTTAAAAAACGCATATATAGTTGCTGTACATCTGGAAGGGAGGACATCTTTCAGTATTTTACAGCCAAGCCACAATGTGACCAAGAGTGGATATTCAAAGTGAATCATTTCATACACTCAGTTTGGAAGACATAATCAAGAGATGGCCAGAGCTCTCCCCTGAGACATCTGTCAACTGTTAGTGAGCCTTACTGAGACTTGAGGTCCAAGGGTGTCAAGTGGCACAGAAAGGCCTGACCAGTACTGTCTGGCTTCAATCCCGGGCACTCTTCCACGGAAGCAATGAGGTGACTGACTGCTTCGAGCATTCCCCTCTATCAGAGTCAAAGGAGAGACCTCAGGTGGGAATGAAATTGAAGGACAGACAGACAACAGCTGCCTGGGCGGGCTGTGCTTGAACAACAGCTATGTCGATGTACGCGAATCAGGTTACAGAGGAAAGACCTTTGGATTAATTTTAAGGTCCCGATCAAAGCTACAGACCAAAGAAATTAAATCTCGGCCAGACGCAGCTACGTATCTCCTAAAGTTTGAAGACTTGACCCAGTTTGGAGAGAGGGCAGAGGAAGGAGATGATAGGGAATGCCAGTTTTGAGACCTGCCTCAAAGTATCTATTTTTATTTATGAATGCTTTGCCCTTACTGTTTGCTATGTGTGTACCTAGTCCCTGTGGAGGTCAGAAAAGGGGATCAGACCTCCTGGCACAGCCACTACATGACTGCTAGGAATTGAACCTGGGTCCTCTGCAAGAACAGCCAGTGCTCTTAACCTCTGAGCCATCTCTCCAGCCCCTTCACAGGGGCAATTCTTATCTTCATATGTTCTTGGCATATGGAAAATGAGACAGTGTTATAGATTTGCTCATAAAGTTTGAAGCTCCAAGAATATGGAAATTACTCTTTTTTTCTTTCTCTTAAGAGAAACCCAGATGTCTGTATGGAAGATGTGGAAATCACTGAAGATTCAAAGAGTATTCAAAAGGCACATGACAAAAAAAATCTGAATGTCTGAACTGAAGGTGATCTATGGGCAAACGGGGGTGTGGTAAATGAAGGAGAATGAAAGAAAAAAAATTCCAGGCATTTGCATTTGTTGAGTCCCTTTTGAGATTATCTGTTTTTTTGTTTGTTTGTTTGTTTGTTTTGTTTTGTTTTTTACATAGGTGGAGGAAACTGGATAGAGAAAAAATGTTGATGAACACTCTCCAACAAGACACAACACTGGTGATTGCCTTGGCAAATTTGTTTGCATGCAATAGATTATGAACAGCCAACTTTATATTTGAGTCACAGACCTCATCAAGCAACCCTGACTACATTGCATGGTAGACCAGGTGCACGAGGGATAGCTCAGAACATTCCAATGAGGCACGGGTAAGATGTCTTTGGGATCTGAGTATAGGCAAATCTCTAGCATGTCCCAGCCCATGAGCATCCCAAGCCCCTAGGACGAGCCCACTGTAGCGTGGAGGTGTGGTTAGCCATGGGTCTGAGTCACAGTTAGAGTCTAACTTTAAGGGTCTGGGAAATGGCGCTGGCTGTAGTACAGAGGTCCATTGCAGACCCCTGAACTATTTCCACGCTTCCCCAGAGAAGCCAGGAGAACCCTGGCTGTCTCTTCCTCCAGTTCACCATGAGAACATGCACAACATACTTTGTCCTTAATGTCTCTTTGCTTTTCAAACCTTCCTCTTTTGAGGCACACCACCAACCATCAATTATCCCGTGGCCAGGTGTTAGGTGCAGAGCAATGGTTGGTTCACTTAGCAGATCCCGAGAGCCCTCCTTTCTGAGACCCCCCCCCAATGTTTCCATCTGGGGATTTAGCCAAACAGAAATGTAAAATGAATAACAAATGGAAACATCAGCACCTAAACGGCTCTCCCCTTGTGGTGGTCCCCACCTCCCTGAGCACAAATGCTCAGCTGTAGATCAAAGCTAAGAAAGGGACACATGGTGTGGCATGGGACACCACCACTAAGTGGTCTAAACGGATCCAGGCCATTGGTCACACTAATTTCCCTGGCGTGCCAGATTCACACAGCAGATGGTACTGTTTCGATTTCTACTTTAAATGAAAAAATGATTTTTTTTTAAAACAAAGTACTCCCCTGGAGCCAGCGGGTCTGGGACCCCTGCTGTCAGAAGCAATGGGAGGCATATTACTACATCCTGGCAGGAAATCTCCATTCGTGATGACAGACACATCTGCCAGTTTGGTCTGGACAGTCACATGTCTCAGTGCCACTCTGGCATTCGAAAACCCAGGAGGTGAAGTTTCCATTGTCTGAGGCAGACTAAACCCAAGCTTTTAGAAATGGAACAGAGGCTGGATTTGAGTTTCCACACACCAGGGCTGAGCATTTAGAGTGACAAAATTTAAACCGTGTCTATGTGGGATGAGCAAGGCCCCGGTCTAAAATTTCTCTACCAGTTGTTTTTCCTGCAGGTTTAAACAGGCATTATTAATCAATGGCAGCATTAAGGATCAAGAGGAGGGAAGTGGGCATTTCCCACAGTGACTGCTTAGCCTGCCGTGAAACGGAAACTTTTCCTTAACTGAAACGGACAAGGGCTATAATTTTTCTTCCTACAGTGACCATTTTAGATTCTTCCATCCTGTGCTGGTGAAGGAAGGGGACAGAAAGGTAGGGACAAGAACTGCACTGCTTTGCCTATCTGTCTTTTCCAGAGAATAAACACTTGCCCTGATTGGAGCAGGTAGCCAGCCTGTATCCAGGAAGTTAAGCAGTAGGGAACTGTCATAGGAAATTAGACACCCCATCACCACACACACCATAACAACCATACTCACACACAGATACAGACAGACAGACACACACACACACACACACACACACAATCATAACAACCATGCCTACACATAAAAACCATGCCCACACACAGATACAGACACAGACATACACACACCATAACAATCACAATCACACACACACACACACACACACACACACACACACACACACACACAAGCTTAACAAAAGAACTGGAGTCCACAGGCTCAATAACATAGGTTCTCACCCTCATTTCTTTTCGTCTTAGCTCCTGGTCTGGACGTTTCCTTGGGTTTCAGTTCCTCTGCCAATGGAACAGGATTTATGCCACTCTCTTTTAGCTAT